CCTAAACCCTAAACCCTAAACCCTAAACCCTAAACCCTAACAAATTCCACAACACCTGTCTGTTCCGTGGGCTAGGGTTGGCTAGACCAAAGGCAAGGAGTGCCCAATTTGATCGGAAAAAGTATCAAAATTCAAATCAGTGATTGAGGATTCTAATGGACACAAAAACATGGCGAAAACATGAACTAAAATATCCGAACCAATTCAACAACACCTGTCTGTTCCGTGAGCAAGGGTTGGTTAGAACAAAGGTAAGGAGTGTCCAATTTGATTTGAAAAAATATGGGAATTCAAATTAGAGATTGCGGATTCTAATGGACACAAAAGCTCTATAAAAACATCAATCAAAAAACAGAACCGATGCAACAACACCTGTTTGTTTCGTGTTCTAGGGTTGACTAGATCGAAGGCAAGGAGTATCTAATTTGATTGGAAAAAGTATGAGAATTCAAATTAGAGATTGAGGGTTCTAATCATAAAAGCTCGGTACAAACAAAAACCGAAAAAACTGAACCAATTCAACAACACATGTCTGTTCCGTGAGCTGGGGTTGGGCAGATCAAAGGCAGGGAGTGTCCAATTCGATTGGAAAAAGTATGAGAATTCAAATTAGAGATTGAGGGTTCCAATGGACACAAAAGCTCTGTAAAAACATGAACCAAAAAATTCGAACCAATTCAACAGCACACGACTGTTCCGTGAGGTAGGATTGGCTAGATCACAGGCAATGAGTGTCCAATTTGACTGGAAAAAGTATGACATTTCAAATTCGAGATTGAGGATTCTAATGGACACAAAAGCTCTGCAAACACATGAACCAAAAAAACTTAACCATTTCAACAACACCTGTCTATTTCGTGTGCTAGGGTTGGCTAGATCAAAGACAAGGAGTGTCCAATGTGACTGGAAAAAGTATGCGAATTCAAATTAGAGATTGAGGGTTCTAATGGACATAAAAGCTCTGCAGAAACATGAACCAAAAAAACTGAACCAATTCAACAACACCTGTCTGTTCCGTGACCTAGGGTTGGACAGATCAATGGCAAGGAGTGTCCAATTTGATTGGAAAAAGTATGAGAATTCAAATTAGAGATTGAGGGTTCTAATGGACATAAAAGCTCTGCAGAAACATGAACCAAAAAAACTGAACCATTTCAACAACACATGTCTGTTCCGTGTGCTAGGGTTGACTAGATCAAAGGCAAAGACTGTCCAATTGGATTGGAAAAGTGTGAGAATTCACATTAGAGATTGAGGGTTCTAATGGACACAAAAGCTCTGCGGAAACATGAACAAAAAAAATGAACTAATTCAACAACACCTGTCTGTTCCGTGAGTTAGGGTTGGACAGATCAAAGGCAAGGAGTGTCCAATTTGATTGGAAAAAGTATGAAAATTCAAATTAGAGATTGAGGGTTCTAATGGACACAAAAGCTCTGCAGAAACATGAACCAAAAAAACTGAACCATTTCAACAACACATGTCTGTTCCGTGTGCTAGGGTTGACTAGATCAAAGGCAAAGACTGTCCAATTGGATTGGAAAAGTGTGAGAATTCACATTAGAGATTGAGGGTTCTAACGGACACAAAAGCTCTGCAGAAACATGAAACAAAAAAACATAACCATTTCAACAACACCTGTCTGTTCCGTGTGCTAGGGTTGGCTAGATCAAAGGCAAGGAGTGTCCAATTTGATTGGAAAATGTATGAGAATTCACATTAGAGATTGAGGGTTCTAATGGACACAAAAACTCTGCAGAGATATGAACAAAAAAAACTGAACCAAATCAACAAGACCTGTCTGTTCCGTAAGCTAGGGTTGGACAGATCAAAGGCAAGGAGTGTCCAATTTGATTGGAAAAAGTATGAGAATTCAAATTAGAGATTGAGGGTTCTAACGCACACAAAAGCTCTGCAGAAACATGAACAAAAAAAACTTAACCATTTCAACAACACTTGTCTGTTCCGTGTGCAAGAGTTGGCTAGATCAGAGGCAAGGAGTGTCCAATGTGATTGGAAAAAGTATGAGAATTCAAATTAGAGATTGAGGATTCTAATGGACACAAAAGCGCTGCAAAAACATCAATCAAAAAAACTGAACCGATTCAACAACACCTGTCTATTCCGTGTGCTAGGGTTGGTTAGATCAAAGGCAATGAGTGTCCAATTTGATTGGAAAAAGTATGAGAATTCAAATTAGAGATTGAGGGTTCTAATGGACACAAAAGCTCTCCAGAAACATGAACCAAAAAAACTTAACCAATTCAACAACACCTGTTTGTTCCGTGAGCTAGGGTTGGACAGATCAATGGGAAGGAGTCTCCAATTTGATTGGAAAAAGTATGAGAATTCAAATTAGAGATTGAGGTTTCTAATGAACACAAAAGCTCTGCAGAAACATGAACCAAAAAAACTAAAGCACTTCAATAACACATGTCTGTTCCGTGAGTTAGGGTTGGACAGATGAAAGGTAAGGAGTTTCCAATTTGGTTGGAAGAAGTAAGAGAATTCAAATTAGAGATTGAGGGTTCTAACGGACACAAAAGCTCTGTAGAAACATGAACCAAAAAAACCTAACCATTTCAACAGCACCTGTCTGTTTCGTGTGCTACGGTTGGCTAGATCAAAGAAAAGGAGTGTCCAATGTGATTGGAAAAAGTATGAGAATTCAAATTAGATATTGAGGATTCTAATGGACACAAAAGCTCTGCAAAAACATCAATCAAAAAAACTGAACTGATTCAACAACACCTGTCTGTTCCGTGTGCTATGGTTGGCTAGATCAAAGGCAAGGAGTGTCCAATTTGATTGGATAATGTATGAGAATTCAAATTAGAGATTGCGGGTTCTAATGGACACAAAAGCTCTGCAGAAACATGAACCAAAAAAACTGAACCAATTCAACAACACCTGTCTGTTCCGTGACCTAGGGTTGGAAAGATCAATGGCAAGGAGTGTCCAATTTGATTGGATAATGTATGAGAATTCAAATTAGAGATTGAGGGTTCCAATGGACACAAAAGCTCTGCGGAAATATGAACCAAAAAAACTGAACCAAATCAACAATACATGTCTGTTCCGTAAGCTAGGGTTGGACAGATCAAAGGCAAGGAGTGTCCAATTTGATTGGATAAAGTATGAGAATTCAAATTAGAGATTGAGGGTTCCAATGGACACAAAAGCTCTGCAAAAACATCAATCAAAAAAACTGAACCGATTCCACAACACATGTCTGTTCCTTGTGCTAAGGTTGGCTAGATCAAAGGCAAGGAGTGTCCAATTTGATTGGAAAAGTGTGAGAATTCACATTAGAGATTGAAGGTTCTAATGGACACAAAAGCTCTGCAGAAACTTGAACAAAAAAAATGAACCAATTCAACAACACCTGTCTGTTCCATGAGTTAGGGTTGGACAGATCAAAGGCAAGGAGTGTTCAATTTGATTGGAAAAAGTATGAGAATTCAAATTAGAGATTGAGGGTTCTAACGGACACAAAAGCTCTGCAGAAACGTGAACGAAAAGAATTGAACCAATTCAACAACACCTGTCTGTTCCGTGAGCTAGGGTTGGACAGATCAAAGGCAAGGAGTGTCCAATTTGATTGGAAAAAGTATGAGAATTCAAATTAGAGATTGAGGGTTCTAATGGACACAAAAGCTCTGCAAAAATATGAACCAAAAAAACTGAAGCAAATCAACAAGACCTGTCTGTTCCGTGTGCTAGGGTTGGACAGATCAAAAGCAAGAAGTGTCCAATTTGATTGGAAAAAGTATGAGAATTCAAATTAGAGATTGAGGGTTCTAACGGACACAAAAGCTTTGCAGAAACACGAACCAAAAAAACTTAACCATTTTAACAACACCTGTCTGTTCCGTGTGCTAGGGTTAGCTAGATCAAAGGCAAGGAGTGTCCAATTTGATTGGAAAAGGTATGAGAATTCACATTAGAGATTGAGGGTTCTAATGGACACAAAAGCTCTGCAGAAATATGAACCAAAAAAACTGAACCAAATCAACAAGACCTGTCTGTTCCGTGTGCTAGGGTTGGCTAGATCAAAGGCAAGGAGTGTCCTATTTGATTGGAAAAAGTATGAGAATTCAAATTAGAGATTGAGGGTTCTAACGGACACAAAAGCTCTGCAGAAACATGAACCAAAAAAACTGAACCATTTCAACAAAAACTGTCTGTTCCGTGTGCTAGGGTTGGCTAGATCAAAGGCAAGGAGTGTCCTATTTGATTGGAAAAAGTATGAGAATTCAAATTAGAGATGGAGGGTTCTAACGGGCACAAAAGCTCTGCCGAAACATGAACCAAAAAAACTTAACCATTTCAACAACACTTGTCTGTTCCCTGTGCTAGGGTTGGCTAGA